TCTATCTATCTATCTGTCTATCTATCTATCTATCTATCTATCTATCTATCTCTCAACGGATGATCCATCATCTGTTGTTGTTAAGCGGTGTGAAAGGGAGGACGAGAGAGAGAGAGAGAGAGTTTTCCATCGATAGGATGAGCAAAATCGAATGAATACACTACTGCACTTGTGCGTGTGTATGTGTATCAGGTCCACTTGTTTATTTATAACCACTCTGTACTCATCTAAATCACTATCTTCATAAGTAGTTGCCGGCAGTTATGAAGTGAAAGCAAAGACCTGACTGAAAAAAAACACATCATCAGTAACTTGATATGAAAGCAACCACACCCTTTCAGCACAGGGAGGACAGAGTCGTGACGCAACGCACATGCACAGGTCTGACGAAGAATACAGGCTGATTTTCCGGATATTGCGCAAGATCCAGCAAATTCTTGTGTGTGAGCACATCTTCAGCTCTTTCTGCATTGACATCAAGAGCATATCTGGCAGATCGGCGAGAAACCAAATGGTCAGTTGGTCAGCAATTTATACAACTTGCACCAGTGCTTTGCGCCCACTGAAACTATTGTGTATGCACTGATATATGTTACCCTTCTTTAAATAGCCGATCACAATTCAAAAACTTATGAGCATATATCTCATGCCAGCGACAATAAGACCGGAACACCAGCACAGATGACATGAAACAACGGGGAGCATAATTCCAGCACAAAGCGGACACAAGCTGAAAAATGCACTTAAAACAAAACCAAAAAAGGAAGGACATAAAACGGACTGAATAGGCAACGCCAGTAAGCTGGGCAGGAACCAAGGTGGACGATAATGGAAGAACAGGATGGTTCCCTCAAAAGACAATGTGTTATGATCCTGGCCAATTTCGAAGTACAAAATTCATGAGAAAGCACAATGTCGTCCAATTGCAAAAGAAATGAATGAACTTGAGAGGGGAGAGAGGGAAAGAAGAAGAAGAAGAAGAAGAAAAAGAAGAAGAAGAAGAAGAAGAAAAAGAAGAAGAAGATGTACACCAGCAAAGACCAATGATAATTTTCTTCTTCTCGCCAACCACTCTCCTCCTCTCTCTTCTCCTTCCCTCTTTATTCACAATAAATAATGATAATAACGTTGAATGGCTGAACCAGAATCAATGCCCGAATCCCTCTTCTACTGCAGGTACAATATGAGGTCCACCGTAGCCATGGCCACCCTTCTCCTTCCTCTTACTGAAGGCCGAGGCTATGGCAGACTGCTAGGGCCTTGCCCTGATGTGCAAAGACAACTCAAAGCAGTTATGGCTGCTCTAGCTCAGGCCGCCATGCCTGACTCTGCCCGAAGCTTTCTTGGTGTAGCTCTACCCCAACTGGGGCCTTCCAGATGCAGCGCCGACCAAGGTGATGAAGATGGCGTCCACCATAGCCAGGTAAGTACCTCTGGTGCTCCCCCTTCCTAGTCTTCGTCTTCCTCCTCCTCCAGCCCGTGCTCCTCCACAGTAGCCGAGGTGGGGAGCTGGGCGCTCCTTCCTCCGCAGCAGCGCTGCTCCAGCCAGCGCTCCAAGCAGTGTGTCGCCAAACTTGCACACTGTATAATGAGGAGGAGCTCTTTGCTCCTCCAGGAGATATAACGGCCTGCCTGCCTCTTGGGCGGTGACTTCCAGGCCGCACGGCCTCCAAGCAACTGGTACCTCCTCCCTTTCAGAGAGAAACATCATTGCAGACTCTGATATTGCCCGTGCAGGTCCTAGCCTCAGACTACTTGGACTGGTACCTGCCTGGACCTGGGCCGCTAAAAATGCCAACTTTGTCTTCTTCTGCTCGGCATCAAGCACCCAGCACGTCTACCTCTACTTCGTGTGGTACCGTCCTACCTGCTACTTTCCCTGCCACTTAGAGTGTTTTCCCCGCTGCAATCCTCAATGTCACGGCCACAGGTAAGTACCAACCCTTCGGGGCCTCCCGCATGGACAAGTACCCTTGCGGGTCACACACACACTCACACCGACAAGCACTCAGACAGGCACGCAGACTAGTAAGCACGCGCACACACACAGACTTAGAAAACTCAGCAACAAGCGGGAAACTCAGCAACGCATACATTCCATTGACAAAACGCAGAAACCAGCTTTGTTTCTCAGTCCATGTTTGGCAGGGCCTTACAAATGCCTAATTTCACAAGGACCACAAGCAGACGGGAGAGTGAGGAGACGAGAGCTGAGAGACGATACCACAGAGCACAAAACTATTGTAAACACCTGCTTCTCCATAGCTATTAACGTCATGAACTTACTGAAGGGGTTGATGATGACGAAGACGTCATTTTGTCACTTCGTTTTAGGAAAGACTTTCATGAATTCCATAGAGATGTATTTGCCTGATCTTCCCTTTCACCACTGACAGAGTGCAACTTTTCACGTCTTGTGCAACATCACTCATGATGGGACAATAGAACCTGTCCAAGAGTGTGCTGTCTTCAGGCTGAAGTGGCCATGAGCAACATGACTCTCTCCCAATACATTGAGTTGCAACTGTCTATTTGCTTGGACACACAGCCACAGCACCCCTTTCCTCTTTGTGTATACTAACTAGCCCATTCTTGCATCAAATAATTGAGAGCACGATTGGGGTCTTCATCCAAATTTCCAATTCTACACATGGTCTCTAGAGTACGCTGCTGGAATCCTGTCCACTAGTTCATCCCTCGTGTTCATCTCTGGCAGGATTACTGCAAATTGATCCTGTTGTCATAGCAACGCATGAGCCACCTGATTGTATATGCAGTCCTTATGCTTCAACTCATAGGTGCTTTTAACAGCTGACCACCTAGCAAGCTTATCCAAGAGCTTGGGCGACATCGTCAACCATTGCAATACACAGTGATCAGAATACTGCTTGAAAAGCCTCCTCGGCAAATAGTTGAGAGAGTATGGTATCGGGCATGCAGCTCCTCGTGGGTACAGATGTGAACTCTCTTCGAAGGAATGCACTTGAAGAGGTACTCCACTGGCCCAAGCTCATGCCCGTCATCCTGCTGCTACACAGCCCCAATCTCATATCAGCTAGCATCTGTTGTCAACACAAACGGCAGTGCAGGCCCGATAACCTTCAAAATAGGTAGGTTAGTCCAGCGGTCCTCAGAGCTTGAAAATCCTCCTCACATTCAGAAGTCTATAACAAGGGGGTGTCCTTCCTGGTCAGATTCGTGAGTACCGTGGTGTCCTCCGATGAACTCTTTGTAGTATCACCATGCCCAATAACGACCGCCCATCAATAGTTGTTTTGGGTCTTGGTCAGTTTGCACCTGCTTTCACATTCCTAGCCTTCGGTTACATCCCGTATGCAGCAAACTACACATTCCAATTAGAGTTCTTGTTTTTCACTCTTCTTTCCACTAATCTTGTACTTACCTTGCCTCAACTTCTTACACACTAGTCTCACATGCTCATGCTCCAATGATCTGCTGAAAGTATGTCACCGAGCCAAATTACCACAAACTACACGAGGTACTCTCTCAGCAGGTAACATCCCTCGCTAAAAGGTTGCTGGTGCATTTGTCATACCAAATAGCACCAGTTTGAACTCGTGGAATCCAAAAGTTGTGATGACTTTTGTCTTATTCTGGCCAGCTGGCTCCACATCTATCTGGTGGTTGTCACTCTTAAGATCGATCTTTCTTAAAGTATTTGCAGCCTCGCACTTTATCCCACAAATCATCAATCCAAGGTAGTGGCTCTGCGTTCTTGTTGATCATAATTCAAACAGAAGTCAGTCCATATTCTGACCCCTCCATACTTCTTTCGGATGAACAAGACTGGAGCACCATATCGAGAGTTGTTATGCTTAATCCATCCTCTCTCTATGAGAAGAACGAGCTGTTCCTCAAGCTCCTCCATATCCCAATGCAATATCCTATAGATCAATAATCCCTCAGGAGGAATTTCATCAAGCACCAAATTAATCAAGTGCTTCACCTCCCATTCCATAATACCTGTGCACTCCTCTTGCAGATCATGGTTCCGCTCCATCAGCTGTTGTGCCTTTGCTGGCCAATATTTACTATTTAGTTCAAAAGGTCTACATGTTTGCTTTAGTCATCTAAGCGATCCTCAGCGCATCGCTGCGGTGTTGCCAGGCCTAGTTTAAAAATCTAGGTGCAAACACAAAATTTACCAGATACATCTTTGGGATCCCCTTCACATAGCCCACATGCATGTCATTGTTCCACCTGCTCCATCCACAATTGCTACAATCTGGTTGGCACAAAAGAATCAGGCCATCTCAAGCTCCAAGCCATTGCTGACCCAGGACCATCTCAAACGGCAAAATTCCCCAAGATGTGGGAGTAGAAAATGTTTCACTTTGCTTTATCAAATGTTGTGGGGATATCCCTCATCAACTAAGAGATGCTAAGAATATCCCTGTTCCCCACAACAATTTTCGCGAGGGTTTAGCATCTTCTGAGGTGCAATCTCCTAATTGTTTTTCCTGGAGAGAGAGTTCAGGGAAGAATTCACAGGCTTTTACTACTCTCTTGTCCACCACAGTGTTCATGACGGTAATGTGCTCTTCTTCACAGAAAACCTAAACTTCTTGATTGCAGAATGCAGTACAACAATTTGTGCATGTCCTTGTGTTCTCTTACAGTCTATTTCAGTGGCAGAACAACGCCAGTGGAAACGGTGTGACTAGCACTGCTCTCTTTTTCCTCATCACTCTCGCTGCTATCCTTTCCCATTCTTTTGGCTGTGTCTACCCTTGGTTGAGAAGAAAGAGAGCATGCCGCCCTACTTGCAATACAAATTTCCCCAAAATGTCTAGGTGTCCCTGCAACACCTATTCACCCCTCCTTTTTGCTGGGTGGTTTTTATTTGGACAGCGCCTCCGCAACTGTCCTCAACTTCCGCAAGTCGTACAATGTACACAAACGATTTCCCATCCTGTTCATTAAAGTTTCCCTTGTGATTTCACTCATAAAAGTAAAGATCCCTCTCTATCCGCCTGAGAATAAGGCAATCAGTAAGGAAGACCTACTTGTTTCATCGCTACTATGCTTTTATACAAGATCCCCATTCTTCTTCCCCCTTTTTCGGTATTATACAAATGAGGAAGATACGCCCGCTTGTTCACCTTCACTATGCTTGTCTGCCAATGATCCAACAATCGTCAATGCTTGTTCCAAATATAAGGCAACTCCTTCCGTTTAAGGCCCAAGCGGGATACTAATCTTTGGAGAAGTGCTCTCATGAAGTAAGGCATAATGGCTTCTTGCCCCAACTCCAAATCTAGGGTCTGCAGTAGGCGATCATATTCTTGCACAAGATCAGTCATTGTTCCTTTAAATGTTTGCTGCAACAGTACAATGAGCCAATCATATGCACTATCTTCCCTTGTGACCAACAAATCTCTAGCAGCCTATTGCAAAAGTTTTCCTGGACAGAGCTTTTGCACATAGTCTACCAGCTTGCCAACTAATAAAACCTCTGAGTTGGCCA